TATCAAGAAGTTAAAAGACATCTGTGATACTGAACATGCTAGACTCGGGGGTTCACATGTTAAGTGTGAAACTGAATGTTTTCCAGTAGTAGACAGAACATTAAAGACAATAGAACCTGAAAATAACAAATTTGGTTGCCTTGCTGATGATGAGGTAAGCAGTCAGTCAGCTGATTATAATTCTGGAGAAATAACACTGAAACTACTAAAGGAGAGATGCAAGTCCAAGAAAAGGAAATTTGCTACTCCAAGTCCTACTTCTACAAGTCCAAAGCAGGCTGACGGATGTTATCAGCCAGAGGAAGATGATGATCTAAAAGTACCCCTTAGTCATTTGAAGCTGGGGATTTCCAAGAAAGCAAATCGTAAAAGAAGGTGCACCAACAGAAATCTCTTTGCATCACCAAACAAACCTGTATCAATTGAAGTTGAAGTGGTTCTGGAGCCTGAAGTTTCTCCACAGCTCAGATCTGATTTACCTGAAGTGCCAGAGCCTATAGCTGAGACTTCAGAATCTGTGTTTTCAATGTCACGAAACTCAGATTCTTCCAATTGCCCCTCTAATATCTGGATGGATAGCAAACCTAATTCTGATGCAACTACGCGTAGTGAATTATCAGACGTATTTGACTCTGAGGAAAAGATACCTGTTTCATTTGCAGAAGAGCAGAAACTCTGTACTCTTAATCAGATTTCCAATGATCAGTTCAAACATGTGGATCCTAAATATATTTACTCAGCTAGTGAAGCGCTAGCAGAGGTAAATAATCAGGAGGACAGATGTTATACAGAAAACAGTCAAAAAGAGTTGTTTGCTCCATCAAGATCTACAGAGATAGTAGCAACTGCAAACGATCATAGTTTAGGCATGCATGACTGCCTCAGGAATTGTTCTGATATGGATAAGAGTTCTGGTCAGAGTACCAACAATGTTGTGATTCACATTCCTGAGGCAATGATACCTAATAGCACTGACAGTGCTGGTCTTCATTATGCAGATGATGTTTGCATGTCTGGAGATGGAGATAAGGAAGTTTTGCTCTCAAATCAGGAATTTTGTTCAGTTGATGACCCCGTTGATAAGTGTATCTTATCGTGTAATTTGCAAACTTGCTCGGGCAGCGACAATAGTTTGCCATTCGTAGATGACATAAATGACAAGGAGCAGCTAACAGAGTGCTGCCTTACAGGAAATTGCTCGGATGATGAAAATCAGCCTCTGAAATCTTCAAGTATTTGTGAGGAAAAAGATTTGACGTTAACCAGTCAATCTCAGAATGCTTTGGATCAGATCTCAGCGTCTGAGCTGTCACAGCCTCCTGAGAGACTTCTATCAACACGAAAGGTTAGGGGTGTTTGCTGAAGATAATTTGCTTTATCTGTATTTCTTGAAGTATTTTAAACTATATAATCTTATGCAGGCTATTTCTCCGTGTTCTCAAGAGCGACTTTGTCTGGCTATGAACTCCATAGAATTAATCGATGACCTGGAGAACTATAGTAAGTCATATATGAAATTAGGAATCATAAGTTGGACAGACTTAATGTTTTTATCACTTTTCTATATAATTCAACTGATGTATATGCATAGCAACTCCAAGCACAGTTGATGCATTGCTTCACATTTCTTCACTGATAAATCGATGTCAGTTGAGATCAGAGAAACAACTGAACGGTGCTTCAACTTAATTCAAAGTTCATTTTAGCTGTTTCATCTTAAGAGTTCTGGTAGTTGCTTCTTTGGTTGAGCCCAAGAACCAATAACCAGATGACAAATCAAACAGATATTTGTGAATTTTATCTTTGGTTCTAAAGGTTTTACTTTAGACACAGATCTGTCTTCATTTACAAGCCTTTTGATTTACAGTAAATCAGACAAATTAAATAATTTGCAAATTATATATTATCCAGCGTATATGTGTTGACAAATGAAGATAACAGACTATTATTAAAAGAAGAAGAGAATGACTTACTTCTTGTCAGACTTATGTTTTAGAGTGCCTTCTTGCTTTGACTCTAGTATCATATCAAATATTAACTGATGGGTGGAAAACTTCTGCTTTTAGCTCGTATCGCGCAACATGAAGAAATGAGTAAGTTTCTAATTTACCAGTTGAAATGAAAGAACTTGTCAAATGAACGATAAACTCTTGGTTTCATACTTCAACCTTGAAAGTTATTAAATTCCTTAAGATTATCCACCACACATGTTTTTCTGGACTTAATTCCAATCAATCCATAGAATGAGAGTGACCACAGAAGCTTGGATTGAAATTCCTGGTTCTCTTACTCTTAATGATGATGTCCTTTGTATTGCTTGTGATAAGGATAATATTTTTCTTCCTAAATGTTCTGAACTGCCTCAGAACATGAGAGTGCCACAGAAGCTGACTTATTTTTTCTTGGCTAAATTCTTTCAGAATGTAAAGAGAAGCTCACTTTTGGGAATGAGAATTCTGAAGGATCACACCTTGCTGATGCTAGCACAACTAAAGATTCCGAAGGATCTGCACGGCTTAAGAAGGTTAAAGTTTTTATAGGTCCCAAGCAGATTGCTAGGAGATGGAAGACTGAAAAACGAGGTTCCCCTCCAAAAGGCAATCTACAAAAGCAGAGTTCCCCTCCGAAAGGCAATCTGGAAGGTCCTCGTCTTTCGCGTTCTCTACCTCAACTTAACACTGGGTGCACCTCTATCACACGTTGTTCAGAGAGTGCTATAGCATTTTCACAGAGGCAGATGCATGACATGGAATCTCTAGCATTGAAGCTTATGTCTGAATTGAAGTCGATGAAGGATATGGTAGAAGAAAAATTGCTCTTTGAAGCATATCGCACCAGTTCTTTGAAGAATGATGCTGATGAGGTATGTTCTTCCAGATATACTGGCATATCCGAGATGCATTGTTGAGTTAAATGACCAAAGTAATTCATAGTTATGTCTGATATAGCAAATGATACTTTTCATTTTAAATTTTCAAGTACTAGTGATGTTTCATTTTCCAAGACCTTATCTAACAATTGAAAATATATCAATTTGATCTTTATTTCGGTTATAAACTTGAAATAGGCATTGTGACACACGGGGAAAAGGCTACATTAGAATGACATGCTTAGATGAATTGCATGTCATGTAAGTATATCATTCTCAGCCTCTAGTATCTTATGTTTGACAGGTGAAGATTGCCATAAAAAGTGCAACAAAAGTCGAAGAGACAACACGAAAGTGGTTGTCAATGATGACTAGGGACTGCACCAGATTCTGTAAAATCATGGTTGGTACCATTCATTTTCTGTTATTCATAGTTGCTCTATCTTCAAACTTTTCCAATGTTTGAATATGGACTTCATAACTCATTATTTGAGTCATTGGTTTTCTGTGATATAGAAATTGAGTCAAAATGGTGCTGCTGTTTCCAAGAACACAGTCCACAGGGAGGGAAGGAAAATTTCTTTTGCTGATGAAGCTGGTGGTATGCTCTGTCATGTCAGCTATTTTGAGGATCCCGAGCTAACTTTGGAATCTGATGGCGACAAACAAGAAGACCTGATTCTATGAGAAATTTTGTTAGCCTCTTAGTAACAATCAACGGACTTTTCTCTTACTTCACATAGCTTTTTGTTTCCGTGATTACTGGAAGTTCTCTAAAAGTATGAAAAGCTGGAAAACTTTGTACCATTTATGTGGGTGTGGTTAGATTCTTGCGACCCATCAGCCTACTTTACCAAAGAGGTGGCAGCAGTGGAACGACCTCAGCCCAGACCTACTTTAACAGCCCATAAGGCTTTGCCCAGATTAATATGATGCTCAAGTGAAATCAGGGAAAGTGATATATTTCTCGATGATTCCCTTAGATCGACATCTGAGGCCTCTACGTGCAGCCAGCTTTTGCAGGTTTTTCAATATTCCTGCTCTACAAATGGATTATCGTGTATCTTGCTGGTTGATTGTGTCCAATAATGTAACATGAAATATTATTGTTCATTGTGCAGAACCTAATACATTTTAATATTGATTCTGCTTCGTGCTTCAGATCAAATGACTTTTAATCTGTGATTCTGCTTTGTACTTTAGATCAAATGACGGTTATCCTGAGTCGCCAAATGCATGGTTCAAGTGGTATTTGTTTGACCGACAATATGGATTTTGGTTTAACTAATTAAACATATAAAAATGAGGGCAAATCTTTGTTAACAATAATATCCTTGAAAGAAATCCTAATAGTATATCGAATGACGCGCAGATCTGTTCTAATAGGAGTGACAACATGCAATAGTCGAGGGTCAAGAATCAAAATAGAAATAATGCAATGACATTTATGTAAATAAATGCGAAAGAGTCACCCAAGACAAGATGAAAGTAATGAATATTCTTTTTGACAATGATGAGTGATGGACAATCCTTTGAATATTGGAGTTATTCTCGAATTTGGGGAAAAGTGCGGACAAGAATCTTAGCCAAAAAGTTATGTTTGTATCCTTGCAATAAAATTTGATCCTCTCCTTTAAAGTCAACAAGTATTTTACAAATGAATTTCTCACGTGTGTCTCTTTCTATTTATATGGAACATGTTTAAAAAAACCCCCAATAGTACAAGTACGGAGAATATCTACTAGAATATTTTCTTTTATATCCTATGTTTAAACTTAAAACTGGCTGTTATAATCCTGTCAAGGGTGCTCGACCTCAACCTCGGTCCTTGATGACTCTTCGGCTTCAGCCCTTGTTGACTCTTCGACCATGGTCTTCATAGTTGATTAGATCGCCTCGACCCTTGGCGGCCTGGGATACTTTACCGACGCCGTTTTGACTTATATTCTAGAGATAGATTTTGACCCATATAGTATTCTCGTCATTATTATCTCAATAAGAGACAGCTCGCAGGTGATGGAAAGGTTCTTTGGCAAAATAAAAATAAAACTGGATAATAATCAATAATCATTGTATATAACATGAGTCATAATATAACTATTAAAAAAAATAGCAAAGCACAATAGCCAGATTACACGACCATACGAAAAATTATGATTAAACAAATGAAAAAATAACATGTGATGTGATTCTCCTTATGTAATTTTAGGAAGTTGAACTTGAAACCAACATGATGCTATATTATTGTTCATTGAAATCTTCTAAGTTTTAAATCCACAGACTTTGAAGATTTACCAAACAACTCCTCCCAAATCTCAGTGAAAGCTTCAACAATAATTGCATGATGTTGTCTTGAATTAAGACTCAGAAAACAAAGCAAAAGCTGTTCCAAATCCGCTGCTTCAAACATCTGTTTCTCCACTATCATTTCCTGCATTGAATTCTTGAAATCTTCATAAGGATCTGCTGATTTTTTCACTATTGCAAAACTCTCATTCACTTTCCCATCAGCCATACATGGCATCAGTTTCTCTATAACAGATGCTTTTGTTGTAGTAATCTTCTGATAATCAGAATCCTTAAAACTATTCGAAATGTAACGTTTGATCCTCCTTACTTTCGCGTTGTTATTCTTTTTCCTCCTTCTGGTTCCGGTTAAAGGGTCTATAGGATAATCAACGTCAAATGAAGATTCAAAACTTGGAGAAGAAATAAAGCTTTCAGTTTCATCATTAGGCTTCTCATTACTACATTCACTGTTGAAACTGAACCAGCCACTATCAGTAGAGGCAAAACTCATATTATTCAACCTACTATTTGTTGACTCATTTATTCTACTATTCTCCTTTTTCATGATCATGTTATTGTCATGATCAGAATAATCAGAAATCGGCGAATTATATGTTTTTTGTGTCAAGTTGTGATCTTTTCTGAATTGTTTAAGAGAAGGGTGATATGGGGTTGAAGGGGGTACTGGAATAGGTGAAATATCAAGATTATAGGCAGGGGAAATTTTGTATAGTGAAGTTGGCATTGGATTTTTTGGCAAATAAGAAGTTTTTTTGGATCGACAAAAGCTAAAAGAAGGTATAGAAAGCTTGAGTTTGAAACGCTTTCTCATTCTAAAAAGTTCTGAAAAATTGCGAGTAAATGTCTGAACCAAAATATGTTATTGCTATGGACGCCTGTACAATTACAGACGGAATGTTCACTACCGATTAACTCTATGAGTTTGGAGTTCAAGAATATGGTGTTGTTTTATATGAGAAAATTGACGAGGAGGAGAAATGGCCGGCTTTTGATCAGCTGACAGTAGGCTAATCTTTTAATAAAAGTAATTTCCCCCCCTAATATCAGGAGAATTATGACTGACTAAATCTGAGTGAGGTAATGACATTCAGATGTGAAAGCTACATATAAATTCCCTTGAGATAATCCTAGATATAGAGGAAATGGTCCCAAGTAGTTTTTTATGTAATGTTAATTCTTGATGTATGACATCAAAGGTTTTTATCTCTCTTTTGTATTTATCTTTCGTGATACAGTCAAACCTCTCTATAACAACCTCGTTTGTTCCAGATTTTATTAGTTATTATAGCGAAGTGTTACTATAGAGAACATAAATTATAACTTAACATGGAAATTGGTTGCAAAAAACACTTGGTTTTTATAGTGAATGGTTGTTATATAGTGATGTTGTTATAGAGAGGTCTGACTGTAATTTGGATTCAACTGCCATGGCGTTGCATTCTACGGTCAAATCTCTCTATAACAATCTCGTTTGTTCAAGATTTTTTTGGTTATTATAGCGAAGTGCTGCTATATATAAAGAACATATATTATAACTTAGCATGAAAATTAATTCCAAAAAAAACTTGGCTTTTAAAATGAATGATTGTTATATACGTAATGCTGTTATAGAAATGTCTAACTATATTATTTAACTGCCCATGATATTTTTTTTCATGCTTTTAATTATTTCAAATGTTTACCCGCTTTTTTGTATGACAAAAGTCATTCTGTAGGAAAATAATTTTCATGAGGAAGCCATTTATTGGTGTTTAGTTACCACCAGAAATATTTTCCTTCGTCGCGACTAAGGAGGAAAATGAGTGGCTATAAGTCATTTTCTTTACAATTATCTTAGCTTTTGACCTTATATTACTTGTTCCAATTAACACTACGACATTATTATTAATTTTTAGGAGTTTTTAATCAAAAAATTCTTCAATTTGCTAATATTATTATTAATTTTTAAGAAGTATGTATTTTTTCGAGAAATATATTTTACCGACACATAAACACCAAAAAACATTTGCAAACAAAAGTGGCTTTCGTCGTACCAAACCCACTCTTAATTTAATGATTTTAGATTTTTCCTTAATATCAAATGCCAAAAAAAAAATAAAAAAAAATGAAGCAAACTTTGTCAACTATTGCCAGCAAGCTCCAGAATTTATATCAGTATATTTTTCTTGGTTAATTTTTATTTTTGATATAAAAGGTTGTTAGTTAGTTATCCAAAAAAGGAGTTTACGTAGAAAAATCATCCTGCTATTTTTGCTAAACAAATGCTGAAAATGTATCCAGCTGTGAGTTGAAGAATTCCTTGCTGTCCAAATACCATAAAGATAGTCCTATTAATGAGAATAATTTTTTTTCTTTTTTCCCCGAATATAAAAAAGGAATGACAATGATAAAAGTTGCAAAAAGTCGATATTGACTTAAGGTTATTAGCAGAAAAGAAAAAGAAAAAAAGATTTAAGGTTGTTTTGATTTGGTCATATTGTCTTCTTTATTCCATCCTTATTCCTGTGTCACTATTTGTTCGGCATTTTTCTCTAATTAACATTATGTGCTTTTTGTATATACTAATCTTTGATCACGTGTGTTGCATGTGTGTATCATATGTTAAAAGTATAAAGTTCTAATACGGGAGGATATTTTTTTAGTTTTGTAGTTATTTGCAAATATTATTTTAATTATAATATCTTTTCATAAAAGATCTATAAAAATAATATAGGACAATTATAAAAATAATATAGGAGATCGTTAGGGTAATTTTCTTTTATTCAAACAAGTTAGTTAAGAAAGACAAAACTCTCTCTATCTCTCAGCCTTATTTAGAGTCCGTTTGGATTGGCTTAAAAAATGGCTTTTTAGTAGAAATAGCTTTTAAGCCAAAAAGCAATGCCCAACTTATTGTTTTTAGCTTGTTAAGTAGTTTTTAGCTTATTTTAAGTATTTTTTAACTGTCAAATACTGAAAAAAGCTACTCCCTTCGGTCCAAAATAAGTGATTTTTTGTTTTTTTCCACACATTAAGAAATTTACCTTTTAACATTAATTAGCAATGAAATTGACCATATTAACCTTTACTATCTCTTCACATAAATATTCCTAACACATACTCCAACATTAATTACTCCAAGGGCAATGTAGGAAAAAAATAATTAATTCATTCTTGAAATCTGGAAAATCACTTATTTTGGACCACAAGAAAAAAACCAAAAAATTATTTATTTTGGACAAAAGGAAGTAAAAACAACTTAAAAGCTGATTTGACCAGCTTAAAAGCCAATTCAAATACCCTAGTTGACTGGCTAAATTAAGCGTGCACACACACACAAAAAAGAGAGAGAGAGAAAGAGATGATAGATAGATGGCTAAAAATTGTGGCAACCACATTGCATTTATAAATGGCCTCAAACTTATGTTTCTTTTTTGTCCATTTTCATCTTTTTTTCCTAAATGTAGATTGTCCTGTACAATCAGTACATATAATTATTTGTGCAGTCAAACTATTCATATTAATAAAAAATATGCAATAATACGACCTATATGAGCAACACACATAAGGAGAAAGAATCTTGCTTTGAGACAAAAATATACCAAGTCCTGAATAACTAAAAAAGAATGAGTAGATATCCAATAGTTCATTCTTAATTATGGTTTAGTATGACATAGGCTAAATTCTTTCAAATACACATTTGTTTGGATGTCATAAGTCAATTAGTTCTACATCATATCACTATATACTATATTTCTTCTAGCAAATTAAATAAATTGACTAAACTATTTGTTATCGGCTCCATATCAAGGCTCGAAAGCTGTAGTTAAGGATGAAGAAATTATTAATTCCCTATAACCCTTGTTGATATAAACTATTTGTTATCAAACACATTACTAACTCTAGTTTCCAATTTCATGTTTTGTCCTCAACCAAATTATTCCAAATTTCAAAAGAACTTTCGTCGAGTAAAACTTAAAGAATTCTGATAACAAACATAAAACCTGAGCTCTGAGTTCATTCCCATCTGAAAATCCCATATTACTCTTATAAACACTAATTGTGCACTTATTATTTTTTTTTAAAAAGATCTGGAAAATATTTCCCGACTTAGCAAGCACAAATGTCAAAACTTCTTTGAGGCCATAGCTTATAGCATATTATCATCTTAGCGCACGTCTTTGATGATACACAACTTTCAGCTCCTTGATTATACATGTACCATATGGTGTCTCTCTATCAAGAGGACGAAGACGCAACCGCAACAAAAGTAACAATATATTTAGGGAGAGCTTTGATGTCTCTCTATCAAGAGGACGAAGACGCAACTGCAACTGCAACTGCAACTGCAACAAAAGTAGCAATATATTCAGGGAGAGCTTTGTGACAATTTGTATTTTGATTTGTACTTTCTCTTCTGAAAAGTTTCATGAATTCAGTTCATAATGTAATAAGTTGCACAATTAATTAATTAATTAGGAATACTAAAAGTTTCACAAACCCCAAAGGTGCCAGATACATTTATATTATTTAGTGCTTTTACATATTAATGTTGAAAAGATAATGTCTTTTTTAAAGAATCTAATTACGGTAGGAAGCAGGAGAGACTCTAGTAGCTTGAATGTCAGTTACCACGAAATGCTTATATTATATAATAGAAATAGGCTCACGGTCATCTGTAATGAATTGAGCAGCAATAGTTTTTCGAATATAATTGCTATACAATTTTGAATGTAGAATAATAAATAAAATACTCAAGTTTGCATAGACAATTTGGAAGAAGCCCAAAGGGCTTATTAAAAGCTGGTCATCTTAATGGGTCCGCATTCTAATTTAAATTTTTATTTATTTTTTCTTTTCATTGGAACGTATATTTACCTCTTTGTACATAAATATTGTTCGAATATTTTTTTAATTTAAGGGTAAAATCGTCACTCAATCTTTGATGGGTAAATTTGTAAATTAACTTTGACTTAAGGTGTTCACATTTATAATATAGTATGATGATATATAGAAAAATACCGTAATATTATCAAATACTCATAATTTTTGAAGTGCAATAAGTTCAGAACTTAGAACTTTAAAAGATGATTCTATCAAATTTAAATATTTGATCCGTCTTTGACAACAAGAGATTAAGAATAATTAAAATTAATTAAAGTCAGTATATGTTCTATTGTTTAGTACATCTTAATTTAAGCCATAGAAGCCCAAGAAACCTTTGGCCATGTTACTAACTCGCCTATTTATTGATTGAAAATTACGCGACATAGCAAACATATATAATATATTATTGTATTTATCATTCGCAACTATACTTTCAGAAATTACAATTTGTAGTTATATTTGAATTTTATAGCAAATCTATCTGTAGTACTGAAATAAGAGATCAATTATTTTAAACGGAAACAAGAGAGCGACAAGCTTTCACAACTCAATTAGTTAGAGTACCCGCTAAATAGTAAGCGGAGGTCTTGAGTTCGACTCGCAATGAATGGTAATTAGGCAACTATAATTACGTATGATAATTAGGCTCTAAACTATAATGGTTTATGAAAATTACTCTTATTAGTTTAGCATGTTTTAATTCGTCCATATTTATCCTACACGCCCATTTGATACCCTATCCATATTATAAAAATATTATTCCCGCCAAAATCATGCCCACACGATAGCAACTACCAAAAAAACCTACATTTCTCCTTTTCCTCTTTCCCAAATTTCTCTCAAAATCACATACTCCATTCAAACATTTCCAAATGAGAAAAAAATTATTGAAACCCCATTTTCTCAATTATTGCAAGAACGAAATGTTCCTACAATCTTCCTATTTCTCGTGTATAAATTTTTCTTATTTCTTTTTCTCATAAAAATTTGAAGGATAGTGTCACATTTTACACAATGAGGAAATTGTGTCCTAATTTGGAGAAGATGGTTTAGA